ATGTTGGACAACACTGTCTTAAAAGTTTAAGATGAATCATGCCTTCCCAGCCACTGGCTGTGTAGAATATTCTCATCCACTTACCTGGTTTTCATCTTTATATGTAAAATGACTCTTGTCATGTATATAGTTTGGCATTAAAAAAAACCATTTGATAATTTAATATGGTTCAATTAGGGATTTGTCTTTTACTATATATGTGTGTATATATAATGTATATTAATATATAATTGTATATAATCATATATCCCATATATTGTGTGTGTGTATATATATATATATATATATATATATATATATATATATATATGGTTGCTTGAATAGGTATGGCCCCATAGACTCATGTGTTTGAATGCTTGGCCATATGGAGTGTCACTATTAGGTGATGTGGCCTTGTTGGAATAGGTGTGGCCTTGTTGGAGGAAGTCACTGTGGAAATAGGCTTTGAGGTCTCATATGCTCAAGCCAAGCCCAGTGGGACAGACTTCTGATGCCTGCAGATCAAGCTGTAGAACTTTCAGCTCCTTCTGCAGTACCACACTGTCATGTCCTACCATGATGATAATGGACTAAACTTCTGAAACTGTAAACCAGCCCTAATTAAATGTTTTCCTTTATAAGAGTTGCCATGGTCATGGTGTCTCTTCACAACAGTAGAATCCCTGAGACTATATATATATATATATATATATATATATATATATATATATATATACACACACACACACACACACATACGTGTATATATGTATGTATATAATTTGTATATATTTTAGAATATATATATTTAAAATATATCTCTATATAATTTTTTTGAGGGCTGGCCTTGAACTCACACAGATCTGTTTGTCTCTGCCTCCCAAGTGCTAAGGTTAAAGGCATGTGCCACTACACCTAGCTTTATGAGGCACGTTTTTAAAGCTTGGACAGTGCTTTGACCTGAAGTGTGTTTGGCTGGAGTTATCTGTATACCGAAGGAGGCTACTCCCAGGGGTAAGACAGGCTTGTCCAAGGAGGTAGGGGCTATGCAGGTAGCCCTGCGGGAAGATGGTCCAGATAAGCTGCCGAGTAACTGGATAGAGGGTCCTGCCCTCAAAAGCCAAGGGGTACTGAGAGTTTGCGTGAATGGGAACACAAAAGAAAGCATTTAAAGATGTAAAGGTATGGGATAGGTCAGGACCATCAGGCCTTGGACCATCTTATAAGACCCACTGGACTGTTGGGTTGTACAGAAGAGCCCAGCAGGCATCTTTAGAGAATGTTGGGGCCTTCAAGGAAAGTGTTAGGTTCCTTCAGGGCAGTGTGACAGGGTATGCAGAAATGAAGGTATCCCAGACTTTGGGCAAGAACTTAGCAAGTAGCCGGGCATGGTGGCGCATGCCTTTAATGTTAGAACAGGGCTTTTGACTTGAGTGTGACATTATTCATGGATGGAGCTGGCCTCTAGTTTGTAGACTAGACATGGCCCCAGGAGAGGCTGGCAGTCCAGAGGCTTTGGGTACTCCTAGCTGACAAGGATGACAGGGAAGAGTCCTCAGACCCAAGGCTGGCTTCGTCCACTCCGATTTCCTAGGATGGGTAGGGCACAGGAAGCAGCTGCAGCCATGTACAGGGCCCACCTTGCAGTTGGATCCTTTCTGATCTGAAAGGTCTCCTCTTGGATATTAAAGACCGTGAAAGCCAAGCCTAAAAAGTGAAGAGAGCCTTGGGTCCTGAGCCTAGTTTAGGAAGCTTTTATCTGTTTTGAGAGGGAGCTTGTTTGGTTTATGAAACACAGAGCTGGGACAGCTTATTCCTGACTCTTAGGATGCAGATTCATGTACTTGTGCATGGCTCTAACTAGCCTAGATTTAAGGAGTGTAGGCTTCTTGGAAACTTTCTATTGTCTGTAGTTATCCCATGTAATAAACAGGTTATCATATAGTCTGAACAGGTCCCTCCCCCGTTGTTTCCTATGCCAGTGGCCGGACAGGACCAGTGGGGCTCTCTATATTAAACACAGTAATGGAGCCTGTCCTGTTCATAACTGGGTTACGAACATGAACTTCCTTAGCCCAGAACTGAAGACCATCAAACAGACATTTCCTTGTGTGTGTGCAGAAAGTAGTTACAAAAATATGTGTGTCTTGCCAGGTTAGGTCATAAGCCACAGTGAAGCTGAGGGATTCTAGCTAGATGGTGGTAGCTTAGACTGTGCGTTTGGGACAGGTCAGACTAAGGGAGAGGATGTGGACTCAGAGGGTGTAAAGGTCCTCATTAGCAACTTGGAAAGGGGAAGGATGCTTTTCTGAGAGAGAAAGGATGGCTTTTAATATTCTCTGAGTTCTCTGTCTGAAGTTCTGGATGGAGTGTGTGAGGGAGAATGCATATCAAGATGTTATTTTTTTTCTATTGTTGTAATAAATACCACAACCAAAAGCAACTTGAAGAGGAAAGGGTTTATTTGGCTTACACTACCCGCTCACAACCCACCATCGAGGGAAGTCAGGCGGGCGCTCAAACAGGAACCTGGAGGCAGGAACAGAAGCATAAACGGAGGGGTACTGCCTAGTGGCGTGTTCTCCCTCCAGCTTGGTCCCTTTCTGTCTTCAGCTCAGACTCACCTGCCTCAGAATGGCAACACCCACAGTGGACTGAGCCTCTTACATAGATCAGCAATTAAGAAAATGCCTCACAGACAGGGCCACAGGCCAATCTGACCCGGACAGTTCTTCAGCAGAGGTTCCCTCTTCCTGGATGACTAGGTTTGTGTCATACTGGCAGTTGACCTGTGACACCGTGACACCTGGTAAGGAAGAGCAGCTGGCGACTTCTGCAGGTGGACAGAAAGTCACCAGAGGAAGGGGGAGGGAGCAGGATTGTTAGGGGAGGTGGAGGCTGGTAGAGACCAGATCCAACAGGAGCTTGAGTATTCAGGAAGGGTCATCCATCAAGGATGGTCAGGGGAGAGGGGCTAGTGTGACAGAATCTAGTTGGGGACATGACATCCTTCCCATAGCTGACAGTCCTGTCAACAAGGTCACGAAGGCTTGGGTTAAGAGTAAGAAGTTTCCAATCACAGGATGCAGCCATGTGAGGTATACAGCATTCTTGATCTGGGAGAGGACAGGAGCCCAACTTTGTTATGAGGGAAAATAAGAACCCACCCCCTGCTCCCCACTGCCTTTTCAGAATCTGGGGGTCAAATTGGGGCCAATTCTTAAGAACACATCCCAGGCATGAGTCAGACTGAAATAGAGGTAGGCCTTACCAGAGTGCAACATTCACCCCCAAGGCATCACTGGCGAGCAGTAGACCTCCTAACTTGACTGAGGCACGCTCTAAGCTGGGGTGTTCTGGAAAACAAACACCCTCTTTACTTCTGGAGACAGCTCTACATAGTTTAGTCATGCCGGCCCAGAGTCAAAGGAATCACTTACAAGGGGAAACTGGTTTTGAACTGGCCCTGAGGGAAGATGGGGCTGAATGTCCTGGAAAAGTGAAAGCCTTTTTCTGTTGGTCCTTTAGAGCAGGAAGTCTGGCCAGGAGGGAAAGAGCACACACAAACACTAAGGCCACACCGGCCCTGCAACCTTCCGCTCTGAAGGACAGTAGGAAAAGCTGGGATGGGGGAAGAGGAGAGGGGAAGAGGGAAGAGAGTCCTCACTACAAATGCAGCCACCTCAGGGGTCCATGGTGAGAGTGAGGGGCTTCCAGAACAGCCACCCGCAGCCTTACAGAGCGCAGGAAGTCTTCATGTGTCAAACCAACATGTAAACAGGAAGGATTTCCACAAAGGAACCCTCAGCTGTACCCTGGCGGACAATGATCTAGACTCACAGTCTTACAAGGACATCCAGTTGTGCAAAGAATTATGATAAAAAAAAAAAACAACTTATACTCTAAGAGATAATAACTTTTGCTGGACCTTGAGGTAATAACACACCTTGAACCGGGCAGTGGTGGCACACACCTTTAATCCCAGCACTCAGGAGGCAGAGGCAGGCAGATCTTTGAGTTTGAGGCCAGCCTGGTCTACAGAATGAGTTTCAGGACAGCCAGGGCCACACAGAGAAATGTCTCAAAAAACAAAAACAAAGGAAAAAAGAAAAAAAAAGAATTAAGACTGCTTTCCTATTGTGCATTTACCCTCTTTGTTTAATATGTCTTTGAGAGAACAATGTATTTACTTGCTTTGGATTTTCCACTTATATTCCCTTTTGCAACCTAAGCTAATGCACAGCTGTGACCTTATGTATTCCACGCCCCTGCCCCACAGTAATGCATGTGTGCTCTAATAATCATTTGCTGAAAGCATCAAAACAGAAGTTAAATGCAATCCTATAAAATGGACATCCATGATAAATGTCACACACCACATTCAGCTACTGCTTTATAAACAAGGATGTTTGAGGTCTGGGTTAGCTGGAGTGACTTAATCCCTTGTAAAACTGTTAAAGAGTTTCTGTAAAGTATCCCTCGTTCATTCCCCACATGATGATGTGATGTTCATACTACAGAGAAGAGTGTGAGGGGCCGCACACATGGACACAGTTATAGGCACAGATTCAGACCCCTACCACAGGGAGGACAGAGGACAGAGGACACTATGAAGCAGAGCATGCAAATCTGGACTTGCTCTCGGTTAAACATCACCAAGAGCTTAGGTTTTTTCCTCCCCCTCCCTCCTTAATAGGACATCCACACTATTATTGGTGACTCCTAGCTGGTAATTATAAACACCAGAATGAAGAGAGGCCAAGGCAGGCAAGGAGAGCATTCCGTCCGGGCCATCAGAAGGTGCCCAGATTGACAAGTCAAAGGTGCAGGGTTGAAAGACCAAGACAGATCTAAAAAAAAAAGATGTCATAAAGAAAATACGCTGGGACTAGGGCTATGGCTTAGCAAGGCGCTAGTCATGAAAACATGAAGACCAAGTCTGATCACCCGCACCACATGAAAAGCTGGGCACCTTCTTGTAATCCCAGTGCTGGGGAGGGAGAGAGAGACAAACATGGATGTAAGGTTGCTAGATCTTTATTTGAAAAAAGCAGAAACAAACTGGCATATTCTCAGTTTCTCACCTGATCTGGAAGTTTGCTCCTACATACTTTTCAATAAAAATTCATTCAGCCATAGCATATTTTTACTGTAATTTATTTATTTTTCTCTTGAGACAGGGTTTCTCTGTGTAACAGCCCTGGCTGTCTGAACTCTTTGTAGACCAGGTTGACCTCAAACTCACAAGAGATCCACCTGCCTCTGCCTCCTGAGTGCTGGGATTAAAGGAGTGTGCCAACATGCCTGGCTTATTCACTCATTTTTAAATGATTTTTTTAAACCTTCAGATTGCCAGGAATGAATTTCCTGGTATGAAGAGAGATTGTGTGTGTGTGTATTTCTTAATGTCAAAAGACAGAATCAACTATCTTCAAAAAATAAAAATCCAAAGGGCTAGAGAGATAGCTCAGCAGTTAAGAGCACTGGCTGCTCTTCCAGAGGACCCAGGTTTCAATTCCCAGTACCCATAGGGTGGCTCACAACTGTCTGTAACTCCAGTTCCAGGGGATCCAACACCCTCTTCAGGCCTCCACAGGCACTGCGTGCACATGGTGCACAGACAATACATACAGGCAAAACACCCATACACATAAAATATTGAAAATAAAAATCCAGTTGTGGTTTCCATTTATAATTCTAATGCATAATGAAAAAGCTGAACTTGTGATTTGAAATCAAGCTTCAAATGATCATCTTTCAGTTATATAAAAACATAGTTTGTTTTCAGACAGGGTCTCAATATGTAGACCAGACTGGTCTCAAACTCCGATCTACCTGCTTCTGCCTCCTGAATTTTGGGATTAAAGGCATATAGCACACCTGGCAAAAAAAACCCCAAAAACCTAACTTTGTAAACGTCAGCTGCCAACCTAAGGAGACCACTGAAGTCTCACTTACTGTGGTGGTTTGAATGAGAATGGCCCCTACAGGTTCATAGGTTTGACTATTTGGTCTCCAGTTGGTGGAACTATTTGGTAAAGATGAGCGTGTCACTGGAGGGGACCTCCAAAGCCCACAGCACTCCTAGTTAGCGTGCTCTCCTGTGCTTGTGTCTCAAGATGTGAGCTCTAAGCATTGCTCCATCCTGCCTGCCTGCTGCCACACTTCCTCCTCTTATGATGGGACTCTAACACTATGGAACTGTGAGCCTCAAACTAAATGCTTTCTTCTAAGCTTCCTTGGTCATGGTGTTTTGTCATTGCAATAGACAAGTAAATAAGATACTTATAAAGTGCTGTGAACACCAAAACTCAAGGTGACAGTTAAAGCTAAGCCAGATTCCAAAGGGCAGTGTTATATGAAGAGAAAGCAGAACTACCTCCTTTAAAGGACACAGCAAAAACAACTTCTAAAGTGGATTATGCACATGGGAACTATAAAAAGCAACAAAACACAGCTTTGGACAGTTCTTTTTTCTTTAAAGTCTCTGAAATGTAACATTTGTGAGCTACACAGGAACCCTACCCATATTTTTTTTTGTAGGACAATTCATAAAGCATTAAGAGGAAGACAAGAGATACAAAAATAGTTTTCCAGGGTACCCAGTATTCTGGAAATAGACATGCACTTGTGTGTAAACGTCTCAGGGAGAAAGAACAAGAGCATGATATGAGGACACTCCCTGCACAGCACAACTCTAGTCTGCAATGGATGCCAAGTCAGAGTTCACAGCTGCCTCTCACTCTTTAGATCTCAATCATCTCAGACCTTTGCATATTTATATAAATAACGCTTTAGAAAGACTTCAAACCCAGGAGCAGGTTAGAACCAACAGTACTGCTTTTTCTTTAGTGACCAGGCAGCTCACGGACAATGGCCACACGGACTTACGTGAGCGGCTGTCGAGGGAGACAGGCACACACTACTTTAGGGTCCATCACATTCCCCTCTGGATGCACACTGGGTTGGAAAGGTGCTGAGACACATGTGTGATGCTGAGTATGGGAAACCTTGTGTGCTGTGATGCAATTTCATAGATGAGCACTTCAAATTCCCAGTAGCTATTAACTTAAACAGATTTAAAACAATTTGTTTTGTGGCATATCCTTAAATACAAAGGTCTAAGGTACTGTCTATATAAGCTTAATTGTTCCTCCTAGAATATTCAATTCATTCAAGATTTTAAAAAGGTCACTGTGGACTGGGGATGTAGATCAGTGGTAAAAAAAACTTGCCTAGCACAAGCAAGATCCTAGGTTTGAATCCCAGCAGCACAAAAAGTCAAAAAAGCTCATGGAAATATAGCTGTGTATGTCTATTTACAACTGGATCTGGAGATATAGGTACTGAAATACACACATATGGATACTAACTTTCAGTATGATATTCTTATGCTATCCTTTTTTCTTAAGTTTTTAGTTAGCTTGCATCTCAAAACAATTTCCCAAGCTCCTTCGGTATCTTCATGAAGGCTTCTCCTTCATTGGAAGAATTCTGGTTTGACCCTTTTCCACGGTACAGTCTGATTGTAGCCTCAGGACCTATCCTGTGTGAACTCTCTGATGGACACTGAGTCGAGACTTTCTGCTGAAGGCTTTTCCACATTCAGCACACTCATAGGGTTTCTCTCCTGTGTGGATTCTCAAATGTAATCTAAGAGTTGATCTCTGGCTGAAAGTTTTGCCACATTCAGTACATTCATAGGGTTTTTCCCCAGTATGAGTTCTCATATGGATGATGAGTTGTGAGTTCTGGATAAATGATTTTCCGCATTCACTGCACTCATAGCGTTTTTCCCCTGTGTGAATTTTCTGATGTATAATGAGGTTTGATTTCTTAAAGAAGGTTTTTGCACATTCATTACACTCATAGGGTCGCTCTCCTGTGTGGATTCTCTGGTGTGTAGTGAGTTCAAACTTCTGAGCAAACGTCTTTCCACATTCATTGCATTCATACGGCTTCTTCTCCATATGTGCTCTCTGGTGCACAATAAGGTTTGACTGGTGGGTAAACGCTTTTCCACACTCAGGACATTCAAAGGGCTTCTCTCCAGTATGAATTCTCTGATGTTTGATGAGGTTTGCCTTATGGGAGAAGGTTTTCTTACACACATTACATTCATAGGGTTTTTCTCCTGTGTGTATCCTCTTATGGCTAATGAGGAGCGACTTGAAGGAGAAGGCCTTGTCACAGTAATTACAGACAAAAGGCTGAACTAAGTTCTTAATTTTCTGGTGTTTAAAGATGACTTCTTTATGGCTGAGAGACTTTCCATTCCCATTGTATTCTGAGTACTCTACTCCAGCATGGGGCTTCTCCTGCTTCAGATACAGAAGTGGGTTCCCAAATCCATTGCACTCCTCACTCTTCCTTCTTATACAGCTTCTATTACCAAGTAAGTCTGAATTATGTTTCAAAGTTTTTTCATATAAATCATATTTATAGGGAACTTGTGTTAACGAAACAAAGTCTGTGTTCAGATTTAAAGTCTTTTCAAAAAGACTGCCTCTTTCTTCAATTGGTGGTTGGTTCTTGAGAGTCATAAGTGGCCTCTCCTGCTCACCTGGGTCTCTGGGGTCCTTCTCCACCTGGTCATCGGCCTTCCACACTTCTAGGACAAAACACAGTGAAAGGCACTGTCTTAAGCCTTCTTTGTTAGAGTGGGAAATCCCTACAAGTGCTCCCATTATAGAGCTGACTCTGCTTTCAGACCCAGTCTTTTAGTATTAAAACACAATCCCCAATGCAAACTTTCTTCATCTCCTAAGCTTTGAAAGGACAATAAGTATACGCTGGAGGGGTAGTATTTCCTGATGACAAAACGCCCTTAAAATGAGCAGAAAAAAGCTTGCCAGTGGTGTCGCACGCCTTTGATCCCAGCACTCGGATGGAAGAGGCAGGTAGATCTCTGTGAATTTGAGGCCAGCCTGGTCTACAGAGTGAATTCCAGGACAGCCAGGGCTACAGAGAGAAACCCAAACAAAACAAACAAAAAAATGGGCAGAAAAAAAACAAAATAAAAACGAAGGTCAAAGCTGGATGTTGTGGCTCAAGTTCACAATCCTGACACTCAGGATGCCGAGGTAAGAAGACCAGCCTGAGTTTATTTAAGGCCTATCTGGGCTATACAGGAAGAATCTGTCTCAACACCATTCTTCCTCCCCATGATCACAAACAAAAATAAAGGTTGGCATAAAATGACATGGGAAAGGTAGTAATTCAGTGATGAAGATTTCATAGAACCCTCAAGGACAATGAACAGTTAGCCTGGAGACCAAGAAAATACGTAGGTGGTAAGTGACCAGACTCGGGGAGAAGAGCTACTGGTGGCTGACACTTTAGTTCTAGATGACAGTGACAGGCTAGCATTGGTTTACTCTGCTCACCTATACTATGTGTCACCCTTTTGGAGACTGGGTTTCATCATGGAGATCAGGCTGGCCTAAAACTTGCAGCAATCCTCTTTATTACAGGCATGTGTCACAACAACTGGGCCCAAAGTCACTTTTTTTTTCAATACGTGTGGGTATTTTGCTTGTATGTATGGCTGTCCACCATGTGTGCTTAGTACCCACGATGCTAGGAAGAGGGTGTCAGATTCCCTGGAACGGAAGTCACAGCTGGCAATCAAACCCAGATGTGGTTAGTCTTCCTAGCCTTCCAAGGATGGACTCACAGGGAGGCTATCATCCAGCATTGCTGTGGGCTCTGGGGCTCCACTGGTACACTCTTCCCAACCCCAAAATAACTTATTATTAAAAACAATTTTTAGTGGGATTGGAGAGATGGTTCAGAGATTATGAGCACTGGCTGTTCTTCTAGAGGACCCGGATTCAATTCCCAGCACCCATATGGTGGCTCACACTACTATCTGTGACTCCAGTCCCAGGAGATTCCAATGCTCTTTTCTAGCCTGAGGGTACCAGCCACACACATGGTACACAGACATATGGGCAGGCAAAACACCCATACATATAATTATCTTTTAAAAAGATTCATTTACTTTTATTTTATGTGTATGGGTGTTTTACCTGCATGCTATGTTGGCAATGCCCACAGAGGCCAGAAGAGAGCACCAGATCCTCTGAAACTGGACTTACAAAGGCTGTCAGCCTCCATGTAAATGCTAGGAATAAAACACATATTCTGTGGAAGAATAGCCAGCATTCTCAATCACTGAAGTAGCTACGCAGCCCACCCCCCCCCTTTTTTTGAAGACAGCATTTCATTATGTAGCCCTGGCTAGTCTGGAACTCTCCATGTAAACCAGGCTGGCCTTGAACTCACAGAGCTCTACCTGCCTCTGCCTCTTCTGTGTTGGGATTAAAAGTGTACAACACTATACCCAACTTATAATTTTTACTTATTTGTGTATGTGTGAGTGCACATGCATGCATTACCATGGCATGTGAATGGAGGTCAGGGGACAACCATCTCTGACTGGTTCTCTCCCTCCACCAATATGGGCCCTAGGGATCAAACTCAGGACATTAGGCTTGGAAGGGAAGCAAGCGCCTTTACCCACTGAGCCATCTCACCGGTCCAAAAAGATTTTTTTTTTCAAATGTCTGTGGGGTCTATGTACAGGTACAGGTGCTCTCAGAGCCAAAGCTTTTGAAAGTTGGTGTTTCAGGTGGTTGGGAGCTGCCCAACATGGGTAATGAGAACCAAACTCGAGTCTGTCCTCTGCAAGAGCATACAGTATACACTGTCGACCACTAAGTCAACTCTCCAGCCCCACGAAATTAACTTTAAAGTGAGTATTTCTCACAGGCCTGCAGAGACAATCGCAATACAAGTCTCTGAAGACAACTCTCAAGTAGACAGCAAGATCCTGGAGTTAACTGGGCATCGTGGCACACATCTTTATTCCCAGCACTTGGGAGGCAGAGGCAGGCAGATCTCTGTGAGTTTGAGGCCAGCCTGGTCTGCAGAGCAAGTTGCAGGACAGCCAACACTGTTACATGAGAAACCCTGTCTGAATAACAAAAGTGAAAAACAAAAAACAACAAAATTATCTCACAGCACACACCTTTAGCCCAGCATTGAGGCAGGAGGGGTTAGACAGGTAATCTCTGAGTTCAAGGCCAGCCAAGGCCATATAAGTGAGACCCTGTCTTTAAAAAAAAAAATCTCAAAGGTGCTCAACCTGTTCAGACACTAGGACATCACTTCTACTAGACTAGCTCTTTATTTTCCAACTCACAGCTCCTGTAGTGAATTCTGAACTGACTGTTCTAACTATACTCCTGCCATCCCAGGCTAAAGATCCATTTCCCAAAGCCGTCCTTACCCACTGAAAGTAAGTTGCTGTAGTTCTCCAGCATCACATCCATGTAGAGAATCCTCTGAGAAGGGTCCAGCTGTTCCCACTCCTCCTGGGTGAAGTCCACAGTGACATCAGTGAATGAAACCGACCCCTGAAATGACACAGTTTGTTCTAAAGTGATGGGCTTTGGGAGAAACAGACAGGATATCTGAAAACGTACTCTTGCCACACTGTAAGCCACTCACCAGGAAGTGTGCTACTTGTTCAGTGGTCTGTCACAGCTCTGAACAGTGAAAACCTTCAGTTAGGACAGGGGCAGTGGTGTAACGAACCCCAGCACTTGGGAGGCACAGGCAGGCAGATCTTAGTTTGAGGCCAGCCTGGTCTACATAACAAGTTTCAAGCCAGCCAGGGCTACACAGTGAGACATGGCCTCAAAAATACAAGCTAGAAAGAAGCAAATCCACATGGATGCAGAGGTCTTCATCAAATAGCAAGGGAAAGTGAAGACCTTTCAAAAACACAAGGTCTGGAAAGTCTATTTCTCACCCTTTTCAAGGAACCACTGAAAATGCACCAAAGGCAGGTGCACATCTTGAATCCCAGCACTTGGGAAGCAGAGGCAGGTTGATCTCTTTGAGTTTGAGGCCAGCCTGGTCTACACAGTTTTCCAGGACAGTCAGAAGTACACAGCCCAAAGAGCAGTGGTTCTCAACCTTCCTAATGCTGCAACCCTTTAATACAGTTCCTCAGGTTGTGGTGACCCCAACCATAAAATTATTTTGTTGTTACTTCATAACTAATTTGCTACTGTTATGAATCATAATGTAAATATTCAATATGCTACCCCTAGAGGGGTCGCAACCCATGTGTTGAGAACCACTGCCATAGAGACCGTCTCAGAAAAAGAAAAGCACCAACAAAACAGTAATTCAAAAGGACATGAGAAGGGACAAATCAAGGGGAGAGCTGAGAGCAGTGCCCAGGAAGATTTGCAGAACAGCAGTGACTCTCCAATGACACCAGACGGTTTCTAGTGTCGACTGGAAGGAACTCCAAAGCAGGCATTTTGAGGGCTAGCAGACTAATTAAGCTGAGGGCAGGCTGCTACATGTGGACTCTAACATGCACTTGCTCTGGTCTCCCTTCAACACGTGCTAAGGATATTTCGCTCCCCATTCCACACCATGCTGCCTTGAATCAGGTGAGGACACTCCATCTTACAGATCTTCTGCTCTTAAAAACCAATTCCTGAGGGCTGGCAGTCAAGCGGTAAACCAAGCAGAAAACACTGAGCATTCTTCTCCTTCCAATCACAGTCCTAGCAAACACTCAACACCGGATGCACACTGTGACCAGTCAGATGCACCAACCGTGTTGAGGCCTGTGTTTTCAAACATTTCTCATGACCTTGCCAATGACTTCCCCAAATGAGACTTCTGTGAACTTTCAGGAAAGCTATAGCTAGACTAAGACCCAGGGATTTTCGTGGCTCATCTTCTAGCCAACTGTATAAACACGGCTTAGGTAAGCATTGCTAATGAGCGCTACGCTGCTGCTCACAGAAGACTGTCCTTTACATGCCACCAGCAATGCAAGAGTTGTTTCCTCTCACCTGACACTAGCTACTGTAATCTGAACACAAAGAAAAGGCCAACGAGATGGCTCCTTGGTCAAGGTACTTACTCAAGCCTGAAGATCTGAGTTGTTCTCCACCCTAAGGTGGAGAACACTGACCTCTGACTTCCACATTATACTATGCCACCAGCCACCGACCCCCACCCTATGCACACAAAAATGTAACTAAAAATTTAAATCTACCTGCTAGAGGGTTCAGCAGAGATGACATCGTAGGGAGCAGGTAGTGCATTTCTCAACCCAGGTGTGGACAGGCAATCACACTGTGCGTGTCTTCTTTTCTGGGGTGGGGTGCTAGGGGTCAAGTCCAAGGCCTCAGGGATACAAGGCAAGCACTCCACCAACGGAGCTATATCCCTCCCTAGTCCTTCAGTATGCACACTGCTATTACACAAAGAATTAGGAAAGACAGAGGGCTACCAATACGACACAGTGGTAAACCTGTCACCAACCTTGACAACCTGGTTCAATCCCTGGAACCCACACGATGGAAGAGAACCAACTCCCAAAACCAAAACACATGCTGTAGCACACACAAAAGAAACAGGGTTTCTGAGACCGTCTCATTGTGTAGCACTATCTGGAGCTGAATTTACAGAGCCCCTCCTGCCTCTGCCTCCTGAGTCCTGGGATTAAGGATATGGGCACCATACCCCTCAAACATTTTTTAAAAAACAGAATGAGGAGCCTGGTGATGCAGCATGCCTAGCCCTGTTAGGCAGAGACAGGCAGGGCTCTATGAATTCAAGGCCAGCCTGGTCTACAAAGTGAGTTCCAGGACGGCCAGAGCTGTTACACACCGTTTCCAAGCCAACAAGGGCTACACAGCAAGATCCTATCTCAAAAACAAAACAAAACAAAAAACCCAAACAAAACACCCAACGCTAAGCCACTAAGTGATAAAAGTAAAAAATAAAAAATAATAAGATAAAAGACAAACTAAGGACTAAGGACATCTTTGAAAAACACATCTGGCTGGGCAGCAGTGGCACACACCTTAATCCCAACGCTCTGGAGGCAGAGCCAGGAGGATCTGAGTTTGAGGCCAGCCTGGTCTACAGAGTGTGATCCAGGACAGGCACCAAAACTACACAGAGAAACCTTGTCTGGGGGGTGGGAGGGGTGGGGGGGGAGGGGGGGTGGGAAGAGAAGGAAAAAAAACATCTGGAAAAAAGTATTTGTAATGCACAGGAGCTGTAGAGATGGCTCAATGGTTAAGAGCACAGGCTGCTCTTCCAGAAGACCTGGATTCCCAGCACTCACATCGCAGCTCACAACATCTGTAACTCCAGTCCCAGGGAATCAAATACCCTTTTCTGGCCTCCAAGGGAACCAGGCACATAGGTGGTGCACAGATTTATGTGTCAATGCAAGATTCTGAAAATATCTCGTACATTCTAAGAGACTGGAACTTTCGCTGGACCTCACAGCCCAAGTTAATAATACATCTTAAGGTCACTTACACCACCAACCTACTGTGTACTCAAACTGCTTATTTAACCTGCCTTTAAAAGAACAATGTAACAACCGATCTTAGGTGCCTTGGATTTACAACCTAAGCTAATGCAGAGCTCCAATCTTACGTATTTTTCTGTGCCCCAACCCAGAGTAATGGACGTGTATCATTTGCTGAAAGCAGTAAATACAGAAGTTGAAAGCAACTTCCTAAAATCTATCATAAAGGTTGAAAGCATCCATTTATGGCTACTGGTTAATAAACAATGTTTAGTATCTGAGTCAGTTGGGATCAGTTGAAACCAGGGACTTAATCCCTTGTAAAACTCTGTTAAAGATTTCTGTAGAGTTCCATTCCTTCCCCATGTGATGCTTTCTATGCTGTTCAAAAATTACAGAGCAAAGCCCTTTGTTAGGGACAGACACCACTCACACACAAACACATACTACACATACAGATACCATAACAGACAGATTCACACTCATGAGACAGAGGATGGAAGACACGGGAGCATGGTGTAGAAAATTCGCAACTGAACTCACTCTTGGTTAAATGATTCCAAGAAGAAGTGCTTTTATTTCTTAGTATGACACCAATGTATTCTTGGTAACTCAGAGTTAATTACTAATTCATGTATAATCTATGAAGATATGCATGTATATAAAACACCCTGTGATGGCCTTCCTTGGTTGTCAACCTGACTACATTTGGAATTAAGTAAAACCCAAATGGCTAGGTACACCTGTGAGGAATTTTTTTTTTTCTTAATTAAATCGTTTTAAGTGGGAAGACCCACTTTGAATCTGGTTCTTCTGAGGTGGGAAGATCCACCTTTAATCTGGACCACACCTTCTGCTGGTAGCCTAGGATAAAGGACATGAGATGCCTGTTTGCTCTCACTCTCACTCAAGATTAAAGGCGTGAGCTACCACCGTCTGGCCTGGCTGAATTTTTTAAGCATCTGGAATAAGCTTTCCAATTTGCCAACATGTACAGCTCAGAGAATACTGAAAGCCCCTGGTGTGAACTATTCTACAAACCTGAGACAAATGCATTTGATTATCCTGATTCACCAACTGTGAGAGACAACAGCTGTGACTTTGTATATATATACACAACCTTTGACAACTTGTGAAAAAATAAGGACCCACCTAGCATTGCCTTTAGACCATTAAAGAGACTAAAAGCTAAGCAGGCTCCTAGAGGGAAGATAGAAAGTGTAGTTCACAAAGAGGTGCACAAAACTGCTAAAGAGCTGAATGAGTCTGCTAATTCATTCAAGCAGAAGCCTGGGGACTATGAATGGGAATGGATTTGAAGGGTGTGGGATAATGGTGGAACATGAAACTGGGTCAGGCTGAGTTTACTGATATGGGCCCTCTGAGTAGAGGCTAAGACACACCATAGTGTCAGGGCACCAGCACAACCAAAGAGCTTGTTGTCGCCCTTCCCCTGGGCCAGACCTTAGGGCTGGGGGTGTTCCTGCTCAGTTGGGGGAATTAAATGCAATGGGTTTATCGGCCCCCAAGTAGCAGGGGCCAGGCGACAGCATGGAATCGCCAAATGATTGTAGTTACTGTAATGGGCAGCATAGACAAAGCAACATCCATAATGGCCTGACCTGTAATGGCCAGCACAGGCAACGTGATTTTTACAGTGACATGACTGGCTAATCAATCATATTATTTCCAGGCATGAAACAGATAAGTCTATTGCATTTTATTTATTTATTTATTTATATTTTTTGGAGCTGTATAAGCAGAAAAATTTTCAAATGAAAGAAAGGCTACATTGTATCATGGCAAAAGGGAATGTGAACCAATTTCCAGACTTGAGACAGTTTGCAGACCCAGAAGGGCTTGAATGAAGGGCTGGCCAGGTTCCCCTGAGGGAAGACCTTGATAACATACCAGAGTTTTACTGTTAGTCTTCCTCTAGTCCTTCCTCAGAGGGACCTCTAGCCTTTTACACGGGTAACTGTGCTCTGGGGGGATAGATAACAATCAGACTTTCCAGGTCTGTTGGATACTGGTTCTGAAATGACTATGATTCCAGGAGATCCCAAGAAACAGTGTGGCCCTCCAGTTAAAGTAAGGGCTTATGGAGGCCAGGTGACTAATGGAGTTTTGGTAGAAGTCCAACTCACAGTAGGTCCACTGGGTCCCCAAACTCACCCTGTGGTTATTTTTCCCAGTCCTGGAATGTATAATTGAGATAGATATACTCAGAAGTTGGCAGAATTCTCACATTGGTTCCTGACCTGTGGAGTGAGGGCTATTATTGTTGAATGGCTAAACAGAAGACTTTAGATTGCCAAGAAAAACAGTAAATCAAAAAGTTTTCCATCTCTGGAAAAACTGCAGAATGAGTGCCGTGTTCAAGGACTTGAAAGATGCAGGGGTGGTTCCCTTCAACTCTCCTATCTGGTCAATGAAGAAGACAGATGGATCGTGGAGAATGACAGTTGATTACTGAAAACTCGATCAAGTAGTGATTCTGATTGCAGCTGCTGTACCAGATGTGGTGTCCTTACTTAAGGAAATTAACACACCTCTAGTCACAAGCACTCGGGAGGCAGAAGGATCTCTGCTGAGTTTGAAACCAGCCCGGTCCATATATCAAGCGAGCTCTGGGACAGCTTAAAACAAGACAACAAATCTCTTGATTAAAAATTAAGCAATAGATTTGGTCACTTCACACACACAAAGGTGGGCAAAGTGTCAGAGAACTGAATATGAAAACAAGGCACTGCTAAGCTGGGTGGAGGTGTCGCACACCTTTGACCCCCAGGAGACAGAGGCAGGCAGATTTCTGTGAGTTTGAGGCCAGCCTGGTCTACAAAGAGTTGCAGGACAGCTACAGTTGTTACACAGAGAAACCCTGTCTTGAAACAAATAAACAAAAACCATGGTATGGCTACATAATTCATTAAAATGATCAAATCTAGAATACTGGCCATGCCAAATGTTGGTGAGGATGTGGAAGCATGTTTTCATTCACTCATGGTGGGAATGCACTTCACTTGGAAGACAGTTTAACCGTTTCTTACAAAATGAGTCATGTTTTTACTATATGGTCCAGCAATCCTTGGTATGCACCCAAATGAGTTGAAAACCTATGCTCCCACAAAAACCTGCATTTTAATTGTCAAAACTTGGAAGCAATCAAGATGTCCTTCAAGAACTGACTAATACTGGACTGGAAATGCAGCTCAGTAGACAGAATGTTTGCCTAGAATGTACAAAACCTAGGTTCCATCCCCAGCACTGCAGAAACTGGGCACTGTGTCACATGCCTGTCATTCCAGTCCTTGGCAAAGGGGCAGATCAGAAACTGAGGGTTAGCATTTAAACCAGAGGTTCTCAACTGTGGGTCACACTCCTTTGGGGTTGAATGGCCCTTTCATAGGTCACCTAAAACCATCAGAAAACAGATATTTACATTACAATTCATAACAGTAGCAAAATTACAGTTATAAAGTAGCAATGAAAATAACTTTATGGTTGGGAGTCACCACAACATGAGGAACTGTATTAAAGGTCGAACCATTAGGAGATTGAGAACCATTGCTCTAAAAACATATTGAGTTTGAGTTGCCTATGCTACATAAGACCTTCTCTGCTACTCAAAACAGAAGGGACCCCCAAAATGGCAAGGATGGATGGGGTTGTTTCACTGAACCTGGAGCTAGGCTTTCAGAAAGCTCCAGCAATCCTTTCTCTGCCCCTCATATTCTAGAGATACTGGTATGGGGCAAACCCCACTATGATCCAAATTCAGGTCTTCATGCCTGTGCAGCAAGGGCTCTCATCCACGGAGCCATCTTTCTGGCCCAGATCTAACTCATCATACTTTCTACTTCATTTTCTATAAACATAACACTCCAAAAGCGAAATGAAAAACCAAGTGGGTAACATACAGTCAACTCACCTGGGACCTCATCATTTTCTGTGGTTGGGGTAAAGGCACAAAGCACAAAGGCACACCTGGAAGAAAAGGAAGCTTGTTATGATGGATCTGACCGTCTGGTACCCAGAATGTTCTGTTTAGAGACCACTACATACCCCCCAAAATACTACCCCCTCTTCAGAAAAAGCATGCTGGCAATATCTACTTTCAACCAAACACGATGAGACACACACACACATAAAAAAGGGCAAGGATAAGAATCTCACCATCAAGAGACAAAACAAGCCGGGCGGTGGTGGCGCACGCCTTTAATCCCAGCACTCGGGAGGCAGAGCCAGGCGGATCTCTGTGAGTTCGAGGCCAGCCTGGGCTACCAAGTGAGTTCCAGGAAAAAGGCGCAAAGCTACACAGAGAAACCCTGTCTCGAAAAACCAAAAAAGACAAAACAGAAGGCCCAACTCCTGAGGCTGTCAGATAAGGAATTTAAAGCAACTATGATTCCCACACTACAGGCTTTACTATAAAGGCAAACACAAATAACAAATAAGAAACTTCAACAAAGATGGAAACTAGAAGAAGAAAGAAAATTCCAGGTGGTGGTGCACGCCTTTAATCCCAGTACTCTGGAGGCAGAGGCAGGAGGATCTCTGTGAGTTTGAGGCCAGCCTGGTCTACAGAGGGAGTTCCAGGACAGCCAAGACTACACAGAGAAACTGTCTTGAAAAAACAAAACAAAACAAAAAGGAAAACACCAAGGACTTAGAGTATAGCTCAGTGGCTGTTCCGGTCTGGCTATGACGTGAGTCCCCAGCTGCCCAGTTCAATCACTGACAAGTGACTGAACCACGAGGGCCCCCCTTCATCTATGGATTAATCCCCAGTGGACTCCATGGTGCCATTAGTAGAAAATAGAAGGTGGGGCTCAGAGGAAGCAGCTTGCTAGGGCATGCCCTGGGAGATAAACCTTGTCTCCAGCTCCTTCCTGTCTTCCTGGTTGCCAGGAAGCAGCGGAGGTGAGCAACCTCTGCCTCGGTGTTCAACGTCGCCTTCGATTTAAAGAGATGGGATCAAGGGACTGTTGCCTGAAACCAGGAACCACAGTAAATCTCTCCTCTTTTGAGCTGCTTCTCTCAGGCATCTGCCACTGTAACAAAACACTAACGGGGAAAAAGGCAGAAATTCTTAGCATGCACGAGGCCCGATTAGATCCTTACAACAGTTTCCTGCAAAGGAATTAAACAGCAGTGAAAACAGCATTGAAATATCTGAGAAAGAGTAACTTTAGTTACTAAACTGCTCGATTTAGTTTTTGAGATGGAGTCTCATCATCTAGCCCAGGTTAACCTCAAATTCATGATCCTCCTGCCTCAGGCTCCCAAGTGCTGGGATGACAGGAATGAGATACAATACCTGATGTGCATTAAACTGTTTACCCCACAAAACAAAAGTTTACAATTAATGACCTTAGGTCATTCCTACCCCCATTCCCACCCAAACCTTGAGTGCATTAACCCAAAGCAAGCATAAGGATGGAAACAATAACAGTAAGAGCAGAAATCAATCAATTTCAAACAATGGAGAATACAATAAAACCAAAGCTGGTAAATGGAAAGATCAATAACACCAATAAAACTAACCAGACTGGCCAAGGAAAAGGAACCCCAGCTTGGGTGTGGAGGGATGGTAACACCCGTCAGGCTGAAGCAGGACCACAAGTTCTAGGCCAGCCTGGCTACACAGAAAGACCTTGCCTAACCACACAAAATCTACAATCAAACAACAAAGAACACAAATGACCAATATCTGGAATGACCCAGGGCACATTATCATAGTTGCTGCGGATAGTAAATGTCTTCTTTGGGGACTAGAGATTTGGTTTAAGAATGCTCACTGCTCTTCCACAGGACCAGGGTTCCATTCCCAGCACCCACCTAGCAGATCACAACGGCCCATAACTCCAGTTCCGGGTCCCTCAGGCACCAGGCACACAAGTGAAGCACAGACATACATTCAGGCAAAACATCCATCACATAAACATTCTTTAACAGTTTAAAATGTAAACAATGGAGGGGTGGAGAGACACTCAGTGGTTAAGAGCACTTCCTGTTCTTCCAGAAGACTGGAGTTCAGTTTCCAGCACCCATGTGAGACATTCACAGCCACCCACCCAGAACATCAACTCCAGGGGATCTGATGCCCTCTTCTGGCTTCTCAGGCACCAGCACGCATAGGGCATATAAGGCGAAATCACACATAACTGAAAACAACAAAAATTAATATTTAAAGAAAGGAGGTGGGCTGCTCAACCATAGGTCATGCCTGCCGGAAGACTAGGGAGGCTGCAGCTCACGAACCTCCCTCACAATCTTGGTTCTCTTAGGCACGCATGCCCTGTCCACCCATAGGCTACATCTGCCAGAAGACCAGGTAGGCCATCCACCTGCTGGATAAGTGACCACACCAGCCACCAGCAGTCTAGCCCCCAACTCAGGTGGAAATCCCCTGCTCAACCACAGGCCACACATGCCAAGAAGACCAGAGAGGAAACAAAAACCAAGGAACAAAACACCAACAAAGACAAACCCAGAAGTCAGCACTGAGACCTAGAATCACCACCAACCCAGATGCCAGATGCCAGCGTAAGAGCACAAAAACAGCCAGGGCAATATGGCACCCCCAGGGCCCAGCTGTCCTACTACTGCAAGCCCTAAATATTCCAACACAGCTGAAGCACAAGAAAAAGAGGTCCTTTAAGAAGTGAGTAAATCACTTAAAGAAACTGAGGAAAAGACGAACAAAAAATTGGTGGAAATGAGTAAATTCCCTAAAGAAAGCCAAGGAAAAACAGTTGAAGGAAACAAATCAAAATGTTCAAGATCTGAAAAATGGAAATAGAAGCAATAAAGAAAACACAAACTGCCGGGCGGTGGTGGCGCACGCCTTTAATCCCAGCACTCGGGAGGCAGAGGCAGGCGGATCTCTGTGAGTTCGAGGCCAGCCTGGTCTCCAAAGTGAGTTCCAGGAAAGGCGCAAAGCAACACAGAGAAACCCTGTCTCGAAAAACCAAAACAAACAAACAAACAAACAAACAAACAAAAAACAAACCAAACAAAACAAAAAAAACACAAACCGAGGGAATCTGGAAATGGAAAATCTGGTAAGTGAACAGAAACTACAGAATTCAAGAGGTGGACCTAGCGGGTATCTACAGAACATTTCACCCAAACACAAAAGAACATACCTTCTTCTCAGCACCTCACGGAACTTTCTCCAAAACTGACCACTTACTTAGTCACCAACAAGTCTCAACAGATACAAAAAAGGTGAAATAACCCCTTGCATCCTATCAGACCACCATGGATTAAAGTTGGATTTCAGCAGTAACAGAAAAAACAGAAAGCCTACAAAGTCATGGAAACTGAACAATTCTTTACTGAATGACTACTGGGTCAAGCCAGAAATAAAGAAATTAAAGACTTCTTAGAATTCAGTGAAAATTACTGCATATCATACCCAAACTTATGGGACACAATGAAAGCAGTGCTGGAGTTAAGTTCATAGCACTACGTGCCTACCTAAAAAAATTGGTGCGATCTCATACCGGCAACTTAACAGCACACCTGAAAGCTCTCAGGAAGGAGGGGAGGAGCAAACACACTCCAAGAGGAGTAGATGGCAAGAAATAATTAAACTGAGGGCTGGAATCAATAAAATAGAAACAGAATAACAGAATCAATGAAACACAGAGTTGGTATTTGAGAAAACCAACAAGATAGACAAACCCTATCCATATTAAAAGATGGAGAGAGAAAGTCCAAATTAACAAGATCAGAAACAAAAAAGGAGGACATAACAATAGACACCAAGGAAATCCAAAGAACCATCAGGTCATACTGTAAAACCTGTACTCAGGGCTGGAGAGAGTCAGTGGTTAAGAGCACTGGCTGAAGCCGGGCGGTTGGGGCTCACGCCTTTAATCCCAGCCCTCGGGAGGCAGAAGCAGGCAGATCTCCGTGAGTTCGAGGCCAGCCTGGGCTACAGAGTGAGTTCCAGGAAAAGCACCAAAGCTACACAGAGAAACCCTGTCTCGAAAAAACCAACCAACCAACTAACCAACAAACAAACAAAAAAAAGCACTGGCTATCCTTCAATTCCCAGCACCCATATGGCAGCTCACAACTGTCTGTAATTCCAGTTCCAGGGGATCTGACACCTTCACACAATGCACATAAAATAAAGTTTTAAAAAAACAAAAACAAACCTGTACAAAACTGGAAAAATCTAAAAGAAATGGGTAATTTTCTTGATTACCACTTACCAACATTAGATCAAGATCAGATAAGTAATTTAAATAGTCAGTCCTATAATCTCTAAGGAAATATAAGCAGTCATTATAAGTCTCCCAACCCACCCAAAAAGCCCAGGGCCAGATAATTTTAGTGTAGAATTCTATCAGACTTTCAATGAAGAGCTAATGCCAATACTCAAGTTATTCCATGAAATAGAAATAGAAGGAACATTGCCAAATTCATTTTATGAGGCCACAGTCACCTTGATATCCAAACCACACAAAGATTGAACAAAGAGAATCACAGACCAATTTCCCCTATGAACATAGATGTAAAAATACTCAATAAAATACTCAAAAGACAAATCCAAGAACATATCAAAAAGATCATCCACCATGATCAAGTAGGCTTCATCCCAGAGATGTAGGGATGGTTGAGCATATGAAAATTCATCAATGTAATCCACCATATAAATAAATTAAAAGAAAAAAAACCCCACATGATCATTTCATTAGATGCTGGAAAAGTTTTTGACAAAATCCAACATCCCTTCATGATAAAAGTCTTGGAGAAATCAGGGATACAAGGGACATACCTAAACATAATAAAGGCAATTTACACCAATCCTATAGCCAACATCAAATTAAATGGAGAGAAACTCAAAGCAATTCCACTTAAATCAGGAACAAGACAAGGCTGTCCACTTTCTCCATATCTAATCAGTATAGAACTTGAAGTTCTAGCTAGAACAGTAAGACAACTGAAGGAGATGAAAGGGATACAAATTG